AATAGCACTGCTTCTGGTCCAGCGGGGTATTCCGGGACAGCAACAGCAAGGTCTGGGCGGTCTGACGGTCTAGAAAGCTCTGTCGGCGTGGCGTCCTTGTGTTGAGTTGCGCTCTGATTGAAGTGTTGACCACAGTAATCCCATACCTCACCCGGGTTCTCACCTTGGGGGATCGGACTCTTGGGGGCGAGAGTGCAGGGGTCGTTTAGTGGGTAGGGCTCTAAATTCCTTGGGCTCGCGGTTCGCTCTTGCAAACAAGTCTTAGGTAGGTAAGGGGCTGCGCTTGGTGCGGGGACTTCGTAGGAGGTTCGCTCATTCCGATAGAGGCACCCGTCACGTGCGGACGTGCTCATCGTCCACTCGATCGCCCGGTCTTTGTTCGCCCGGCTTTTGTTAGCCCGGCCATTGTTCGCGCGGCCTGTGTTTGTGGTACATCTGCCGACTAAGTGCTCTTTCTGGAAGTTTTTATTTGTTTTGTTTCCTTTTGTTGTTTCTGTGTTCGTGGTACATCTGCCGACAAAGTGGTTTCCTGCAAGTATTTATTTGTTTTGTTTCTTTTCGTAATTTCTGTTTTGTTGTGCTTTTTCTTTGTCCTGTAGTAATCGCGCCGCATTGCCACNGCGATTCCGATCCGGTAGTAGATTCATTCGCGAAACAATTGCTCTTGAGTTGTTAGGTCTCCTTCGGAGGCGCTCGGGCAGTTGTTAGCAAATCCCACCCCTCTTGGCTGAGCCTTTGCTCGCCCACCTGTCCTGGTGAAACTGGAAAGGCCTTCGGGCCAGCAGTAAACTTTCAATCATAAAAAAAAAAAAAAAAAAAAAAAAAAAAAAAGGAGGTTCGCAAAAAAAGACTTCAACTTATTTAGACATTTTTGCTATTTGACGACAGATGGCGTTACTCGTATCGTAATAACAATAATAAGAATGAAAATTTACTGTTGGTAGGGAATGAAACGTAAATGGCAACATCCCATCAATCTGTAACGAAGCAGACTGTGCAACAGCGATTGTACAATACAGTTCAGTACAATACAGAATATTTTTTTTTTTTTTTTTTTAATAAAAATGCCGTACCTCTAGCAAACAACAAAGCCAGAGATTCATGTTTACATTTTTTGTTTTGTTTTAAATCTCCCCTCATCTCCTTTTTTAACATCGCACCTCCCGCCATTGGAGCAGAGTTCATCCATATTATCTGGGACCGCTGCGTTCATCGACAGTGCGTTTCCAGAGGTATTTTTTGCAACGTACCATCCGGCTATTGAATGAGCTTCCCTCCACGGTGTCTCCCGAGCGCTATGACATGTCCTTCTTCAAACGAGGCTATTAAGCGGTCGGCAACGGCTTGGCTCTGCCCCTGGCGTTGCTGAAGTCCATGGGCGACGGTAACCACTCACCATCAGGTGGGCCGTATGCTCGTCTACCTACAATGGCAATAAAAAAAAAGTTCAACTTCAATCCTATTTTAACAAAATGAGAAGTGGCATACACGTGATGTCTACGGCCTTCAGTAACCATATATTACCAGACTAGCTGCAACAATAAGATTATTACGTCTAGAACATTAATCTTAATCCGTCTGGTTCACTATTAATCTACAAACTCAAAAGAATCAGTGACGACGCTCTCTCAAAACCTCAATTCCATTGTGTGATGAGCAAAAAAAATTATGAAATCAAAGACAATCTAATTCCCCGCGGCTACTTTAGACTTCCAAGATTAGTTTTCTGACATCGTATGGTAGGAATAAGAGCTCTTACAAACGATAACTTTATGGTTTCTTGTAAGATCCATTTAAATGAATGGATAAAAGTGTGAACTCAGAGCAACTTCTTTATTATATTATTTACTAGCGCCCCGGCCTCGCTTCGCTTCGGAAACTGTAATTTACTATTGATTTCTCCACTATTTAATGGATGTTATTATACATATAGACCTTCCTCTTCAATCACTCTAACTATTAAAAGCCGCATCAAAATCCGTTGCGTAGTTTTAAAGATTTAAGCATACATAGGGACAGAGAAAGCGACTTGATTTTATACTATGTAGTGATTCTTGTCCTTATCTTTATAACACTGCAACATACCTGCTGTATCCTTTATCTTTTCAGGATTTCTGCAAATAAATCGGTTTTTTGAAAGAGATCGCTTTTAGCTATCAGATCGCCTATTGTACAAATGTATCTGCTTGTTGACCGCTTTTTTAAAATGTTTATTGTGTTGTGCAATTAAGTATATTCTCTCTTTCTCTCACTCTCCCCATATCCCACATTATGTGACAGCATTGTCTCTTACCTAAGCTACCATGAAATTTAATTAAAATGTTTCGGTCATTCAAAAGCTCAGAATCATTTCGCAAGAAGCCACCACAAGCACACAACAGGGACATGCGCTCTTGCTTAGTTACCTTGAGCTATTCATTTTTTGTCATGCGTTATCGTCATTAAAAGCATCAGGAGTCCACAATCGTCTCGTTTTTGGCTCTTTTCGCTGCCCTGCATAAGTCATACTATCATTTCATTCAAATTTTGTTTCTATTATATTTTTTCGATTCGAACCTTTTCACAACTTAATTATTACGAAGCTGATTTAAAATAAAATATTTCAGTTTTAAAAATGATGATTAAAGTTTGACTTCTGACATTTACGTTTTGATGTGCCGACATAATCTCGGTATGTACCTATTACAATATTAGATGTATTTTTAAAATAAGTTGCTATAATTTTCAGGTCAGGCGTTATGCTATAAATTAATCCGGTTTCGGAGTTAAATCATGGAACCTTTTAGTGATAATAGTTATTTACTAGCGGACCAAATTGTTCTACAAAAACCATTCATTATTCATAATAAATTCTAACAAAAGACCCGTGTTTTTACTTAGTAATCACACGGAGAAAAGTTTAAATCGGCTACTAAGGTTCTCAGCTAGTCGGGTTTTTTTTTGATGGGGAATATGAAAGCATCGCTCTCGTACCCGCCAAGTGAGGTTTTGTATAGTAGATGTGAATATTGACGATATAATCAAATTTTAGTATGCTCCATTGAATTACTTAAATATATTGACTGCATTTTTTGTTAGTTATTGAAAGAGATCAGTCAGTAATGAGTTTTTGATAAACACATCGAGCAGCTTCAAGAAGGCATTCCAGGAAATTGGATAAAGGGCTGGCTTCAGAGTCAGGAAGAATGTGGTAGAACGGATACACTATTCCTGACGTGGATCATCTCAATCAAATCCTTCGAACAATTGAATCGGGTTGAAACTGTTTTATTTGTTGTTGGCAACATTTTATCAACGTCATTACGAAGGGTTTCTATTGTTAAAAATAAAACCATGTAATTAGCGTTAAATATTTTAATATTCTTTTCAATAAAATATACGATCGTTTACTTTAGGATGTGAATTAAATATGTGATGATATGTTAAACATACAAAGATTTGTGTACAGAGAAATCTTTTATATTTAAATCGTTCGAGAAATTAATCAGGTGAACAGCATACGCTTAATAAACATGAGGACCGAATTGAGGACGTCATTTTAAATTCGGTTAGGAAGAACCAAGATCGATTTTTCTGTCAATTTTTTTAAATAATTTATTAAATTTTATCTCCTAAAATTACATACAATAGCATGTGAGCGTTGAGTTCCAGGTCGAAGGTTCATTAAAATAGTGGTACCCTTTAGACCACAGAGCAGACTATAGAGCACTACGCGGCAGATATAGGAGCGACAACGATTTGATCCCATTGTGTGGGGTTTTGCTTTAATCCCATTGTGGGGGGTTTTGCTTTAACGTATGCTATTAGGTTCATGTGTGTGAGAATGTAGTAGAAAATTAAAATTAAAATTTTACCCATTCGCATGAATAGGTAATCAATTGGCAATAAATAGGTATGGCTACATTCCAATACAGTAAAATCTCTTTATTCGCGATTCCTTCATTTGTGTTTTCACTAATCGTGGATTAAAAAAAGACACCCAATCCTTATGTTCGCGGTTAAAGATTTATTTATTTACGGATCTAATCGGTACACCGATTTAAACATAAGATTCCAATATGTAGGAATCCAACCGCATATCCTTTGTAAACGTGCTTTTCCATATTCACGGTTTCTTTATTCGCGGCATATTAACGGAATGTATATCCGGCGAATAAAAAGCTATTACGCTATAACATATTTGGTTTTACAGAACTTGGAACGTAGGTCGTTAAGTCCTTGAATGGCGGTAGACGAGAACTTGGGTATTACCCTGGCCTTGCTGATGTCCATGAACAACGGAGTCCACTCACCATATGGGCAACATGTTTGTCTGTGTCCACCAGCAGTAAAAACGTTTTTATTTGTTGAACTTATTTAATAGAAATTTTTACTTAATAACTTTTTTGTTTATATTTTTAATCTTTTCATATTTATTTTTATTTTAAACATGAAGATTTATTCTGTACACATTGAAATTCACAGATCAATGAGCTTTTTTTATAATATTTATTTTATTTGTTTTACTTTAATTATGACAACACTAAATTACAATTGGCACCAAGACACTACTAAATATGTATTAAAACTATTGAAGAAGATAATTGAAACATTTTCAATGTATGCCTTTTATTTAATCGCGTTTAGTCGCATTTCAAAAGAAAAAAATTGTGTTCATTCATTCGTATGAACTTTTCTGTGTCTACAGTTTGATTAAAATAAAACTATGAACTTGACTGAAAAAAAAATTTTTTTTCTTAAAACTTTTAAAATTCTTAATTTTAAATATCGACGCTTGAAAGGCAAACGTGACAAAGCGACAATAACTGCTCTGTACATAAATGATAGGCAATAACCATATTCGATGCGCAAAAAAATATATATTTCTAGGTCTCTTAAAATCATTTCAATCCTACAGCTACTAGCTAGATTCTACTACAGCTAGATTTGTTAAAATAGAATTTTTTTCAGGTATTTCAACTTTATATTAGTCTACTGTAAAGTTCACGCATTGTCGCTTAGTCACGTTTGCCTTTCAAGCGTCGATATGTTCAAGTCCTTGACAAAATATTTTTCAACTAAAAAAGTTTTTTTGAGTTGAGACAAAAAACAGTACAAAATCAAGACAAAATCACAGAATCTCAATTTAAATCCGGCTACGAACTCATACGCACAAATCGCACCTTTAAAATTATAGACACTCATTTTGAAATATTTGAATTTCGTCTTTAATTCAAAAATTGACCTAGAACTATCTTGTTCAGCGACTTTTAGTAATCAAATGACCATAAGTACCTTATAAAAGGACAAAGCTATCTATCGGTCTCTTTCACTCTGTCCCCTTCCTCTATGTTTTTTCGGGTTGAGAACTTTAATGGATGTTTTCCAAAAAACACATTTTTTGAGTTGGGTCTTTATAATTCTAAAGGTGCGAAATAACGTACATAAATATTATAATAAATTTATTATCGATTTGGATACAAAAGAAAAACATATAATATGCAAAATCAGTCAGACGCATAAATACAAATCCTATTTCTCCGCAGATACCGAATTTCTGTTCAAAAATAAGCGAAAGATTTTTAAAAATTCAAAGAATTGCGAATCAAAACTTTCCAATAATTGTTCTCAAAATTTCGTTCTACCTAGTTTTAATGTCTTCTCAAAATTGAATTTCTTTAAACTCCAATCCAATATTTGAATCATCTATGAGCCAAAAGATAAACCGCATAACAATTGACTAAGACACTTACAAAACCTATAATTTACAATAAGAAATTATTTACAATAGTTCAAGTATCAAGAATAAGAATTTCAATGAATCTGGCCTCGTTTTAAGTCAAGCCGGTACTACTTACAAGCCTAACATGAAACATTTATCTAAAATACTCTTGTGTAATCTACCTATTCATTAGTAAATTTTGTGACACAACAATACCACTTTGAAGAAAGCATCTGAAGAAGCGTTAAGTCAAATGTGTTTTGATTTCACACAGCTAATACAATAAAAGGAACTTTTGAATTAGGCATAGCTCTGAGCGTGCTCTAAAGGTACATTTGAAAGCTTGTTTCCCTTCTCGACCCAATTCTTTAATCTTCCGCGAAGCTCCTCCAGGCTCTTCGATTTGGCTTTGTTAATCCTCTTGTACTTGACGTCTTTTGGTTTCGTTACGTTTCTGTGGTTCGACATAACTCTGTTGTAGGTGACCACGTGGTTCGGCTTCGGTTCTGGGTCCTCGTCAGCGCTGTCAGCGTTCGAAGTTACTTCATCATCAGAATCGTTGGCGGGAGTCATCCTTTTTGGCACATAACTATACGACCAAATGTCCTTCTCTTTTTTGGTCTTGAGATCTTTGTCACCCTCGATGCTTTTAATTTCTCCGGTTAACACAACGCTCCTCATGCGAAAGTTGTCTCGCCTTTGAGCTAATAGGCTTGTATGTTTTTCTTCGTCGGTTTTGTTTGCTTCTTTAATTTCCTTCTCTGTGCTGCTCTGCGCGCTCAGGCCCTTCGTGGAATCGCCATCCATTTCTTCTTCCACGCTGTATACGGTTTCCAGAATTTCTGGTCTTCTTAAGAAGCCATTTGAACGGCGAACCACACTGTATTTCATGTTCGGATCTATGGCATCTGATATTGATCTAACTACAGTCACGCTGTCGGGGTTTGTGGATCTGAATCTTAAATGTGAAGTGTTGCTGTCGTAATCAGCGTCCTCCATAATGACAGCGGAATCGGAGTCGTTGAGTGAATCAAAGTCGCCAGTGATGTGCGTATCTTGCAGCATATCCCTGAAATCTGGAATGTTTTGCGACATGTCAATGCCGTTGTCCATTAATTTGACTTGAAGGCTCTCGATCACTTTCTGCTGCTTCATGATAATAGATTCTCGTAACGCAAGCATGGTGGTTATCTCTTTTTGCTTCCGAACGAGTCGTGATTCGAAGAGAAGCAGTTGGCTGGAGAGGCTCTTCAGTTGTTCGGCCTTTTCTCGCTGTAGTCGAGAAACGAGCTCTTCTTGGGTACGATGAGCACGGCGCCATGTCAGCAGCTGATGCGCCTGTGCCCTGTATTTCATTCGGAGATCCCTGTGAATTCAAATTAGGAACATATTTAATAATATTTTAAAAATAACAATTCAATTCCCTTTATTATACGTCAATATTTTATACACGGTCATCATCATTCTCCTGCCCTTCTCCCAGTCACCTGGGGTCGGCGCAACATGTTTTCTCCATCCATACTCCTCTATCATATACAATTTATTCGCTCACTCCCTTCTTACCCATATCGTCTTTCACGCAATCCATCCATTTCTTCTTAGGTCTACCTCTTCCTCTATATCCTTCCACATTCATAGTTAACATTCTCTTACCAACCTCATTCTTATTCCGTCTCATCACATGTCCATACCATCCCAAACGCGCACTTCTCAGCTTCTCTGTCACAGGTACCACTTTCAGACTTCCTCTAACATATTTATTCCGTATTCTATCCATTCTCGTTACTCCACACATCCATCGCAACATTCGCATCTCTGCTGCATGAAATCGCCTTTCAATATTTTATACACGGTATTGTTACAAATCCTATCTGACTTTTAAAAGCCATAAATTTTTTTGGGTGTATTTTTTAACCTTATTGTTCTCCTAGCTTCATCCAGGGTGTGGGCTTCAAGTGGGTCGGTGAGAGAAGCCGCCAGCGACACATCCGGCTCCGTTGGGCTATTCAGAGCCGACTCGCTTCGGCTGTGGACAAAATAACAAAAATTAACATACATAAAGCAAGGAGAAAGATAGGAATTTGAAATTGACTTTACCTCAAAAAATTACTACTATAGTTCGTTCAAATACAAATAATAATTGTTCTGTACAACCCCATTGAGTTGGTGTGGGCCCAAATACAAATTATATTGCTGCCAACAATACAACTTTTAAGATGACTGACGTGAAAAAAATATTTTATGACGCAATACGGTTAGTAGGTAGACGCTGATCAATGGAAGAAATGCTGCGACCACATCTTCCAAAAAGAAAATACCATGTGGTATTTAGTGGACGTCATGGAACTCGCTGCAGAAAATTCTATTATTATAAATACTAACGAGGATACTCGTACTAGTGATTAAAATATTAATGACTTAATGTAGATTTTTAACTTTTAAGTGTATTTTTTAAATTCATTCAACTTAATCATTTCAAATTTTGTTTGAATTTTAACACCACTTGAAACCCTATTAAATTGTTAACGGCGTAGTAATCGTAACCCGAATTTCAGGACACCTCTTGGGTTAAACTGACAACAGCCCCCTGATGATGTCTGTAAACGAATTGGTTCTCTATAAAGAAATATCGCTTTTCTGAAGTGTTTTTCTTTTTGGAGCTCCTCATAAAAACTTTAGCTTATTGAAAAAGTGTTTACTTTTTATGGTACGTTTAACTTTATACCTCGGGAGCTGGTGTTAAAAGAAATTGCGTTATGAAATGTTTTTTGAGGAAATATAGACTAAAGACGCCATCGCTTTTTGAGAGGCAATTTCTTTGTGTGGATAAGACTGAAGACGCCATCGCTTTTTGTGATGCAAATTTTTTGGTGTGGATTCCTTTGGATTCCTTATTCGGTTACATTTTAATTAAATATTATAGACACAGAAATTTCCAAAATTAAAACTACCTTACAGATTTAATCATGCGTTTGTATGCTTTAATTTCGGGCATAATGCGATATTTCTTTTACGACCCGTCTTCTATGTTTACGAGTTACGAAAATCCGAAGAAAAAATACTGAAATTTTCAATTTTGTTTAAGCATAGTTGAACGGTATTCGGAGCACAAACATTGCTATTGCTAACTGTCTCACAACTGAATAACTTGCTTCGGTTTACTGACTATTCAGCTCAGAGACACGCAGCAGCGGTAGGCAGGGGCTTGGCTATGCCCCTGGCATTGCTGACGTGCATGCCAACGGTTACTACTCACACCAGGCGGGCCGTACGCTTGTCGGCTGACAATCGTTACTGATGGTAGGACCTCTTGTGAGTCCGCACGGGTAGGTACCACCGCCCTGCCTATTTCTGCCGTGAAGCAGTAATGCGTTTCGGTTTGAAGGGTGGGGCAGCCGTTGTAACTATACTGAGATCTTAGAACTTATATCTCGAGGTGGGTGGCGCATTTACGTTGTAGATGTCTATGGGCTCCAGTAACCACATTAAAACCAGGTGGGCGGTGAGCTCGTCCACCCATCTAAGCAATAAAAAAAATCGTAATAAAAAAATTCATTTTCTCAGCTTTGAAATTGGATACTATTCGAATATATGTTAATGATAGTTTAGAAGGAATTGCGGGTACATCAAAATTGTTAGTTTCATTAAAGACGTCCACTTCTATTACTCTCAATTTCATGTTCTTATTCACTTAGCAAATAGACCGTAATGGCTTTAGATCCAGAGCTAAAGTTTTTCCAAATAAAACTGTTTGATGATTATGAACGGTAAGCTATGTGAAATTCTTATTGAATTTATAATTGTTATATATTGGAGTACTGATAAATTATCTTTTATAGACATATTATATTATATATACAGACACGAACAATCCTTTTGGAATTGTGACTACGGCAATAACGGCATATGGGATTAGTATTTCTTTCCCCTCACTAATCGCTGTTATTCTCAAGGGCTATTCCAGATACTCACTGACAGCTCACTCACTGATACTCACAGACGGTGAGCTCACGTGCACAACCTGAGAAAATTTGCTACTGGCCTTTGTAAAAACAGTTCTTCACTGAATCTACTAGCGTATCTGAATCGAGGCCGACTGAAATGATCCGGCGAGAAACTCAGTGGGTAAATTATCATGGGCCATCAATTAGCACAAGTTAGGCCAGGGCGCTTCGGCAATCCCTATAATAATATTAATATAATTCAAATATAAACAAATCCCTGTTTAATCTCATCTATCATAACAATTCGTCTAAGAAAATAATTTGCGTGTACAATAAGATAATATCTACCTCAAATATTGGTAAATTAATCGGTATGAATGAAGGAGCCAACAAAGCGACGCGTTAAATTACAAGAAATATTTCTTACGGGACAAATTAGAGGAGAAACGAACAAAACTTTTTTTTATCCTCTATGTACGGAGAATTGTTAGATTTATTATTATTTATATTTTACGTTCATTACATAGATAATATTATTATAATACTGTATATACATACTATGTAGTATGATACTGTCCAAATGCGTAATTGTAATGTCATTTCTCCAATTCTTGCAAAAAATGCATTTACACGTGTATTTTCTGTCTTTCTATTAAAGTCTCGACCATTAGATTATAATACTTTTTTTTTTTAAATTGGATTTTCTTTGAATTTTCCTCGTCTTCTTTGTCTCCACCTTATCCCACTAGGTGGGGTCGGTACAGAGAATTTTTCTATTCAATTCTCTTTTATCAGCCGTCATCTCAACACTCATAATATAATATATATAGTTAATATAGTTAGATAGATAATATAGTTCTTATGGAATGTGGATCTCCATGATGACCTGGAGCTTGACTCAGTTAGTAAGTATCTATCTACAGTCGGCATCATTGCGCCACTTTGAGAAGGCGGCACGACATGAAAGCCCGCTTGTCGTGGCCTTCGGGAATTACATACCCGATCCTGTAGACCGAATGGTAAACAGTCGACGTCGCCCAAAACATGTGATTACGGATCCTCCCGACCCATTAACGGTGCTTTTAGGTACCACAAGCACCGGTCACCCTCCACGTCGAACCCGTCGCTTGCGACGAAGGGCTCGACGAGCGAATTAACCCATAGACACAGCCCACTGAGTTTCTCGCCGGATCTTCTCAGTGGGGCGCGTTTCCGATCCGGTGGTAGATTCTGCGAAACTGTTCTTGCTAGGATCAGTGTTAGCCACACTCCGGTTCGAGCCCCGTGAGCTCATCTACATGTTAGGGCGAAGCTGAAATAGCCTCTCAAGGCTATCAGCATAGATAGGGGGAAAAAAACAACACTCTTCTACATTCGTCAAGTCATTAACACACTCCATCTATGTCTTCTTCGGTCGTCTTCTTCCCCTCTACCTTGCACTACCATGTCCATACATCTCCTAGTCACATGCATCTTCTCTATACGCATCACATGTCCAATCGTCCGCTCTTTAATTTGTCAATTTTCGATGTCATTTAACCCGTAAGATTCCGTCCGAACGAACAAGATTATATAATAATATGACCTCCCGTTTATAATTTTGCGGCAGTCTAGACAGTTACCCCTTTGTATGTCGAAGGTCACACGATTTCGAAGGGTTTTTTGTTACTATGATATTATATTTTTCTTTCATCTCTTTGAGTTATGGGATTTTACTCTTTATTATTATCTGCCGGTAAAATTCTTCGGAATACTTCTACTTCTTTTTCGACAGCTTTATCCGGGATCTATATCTTAAAATAGAGAAGCTAAAAAGACTTTAGTTTTTTTTTTTTTTTATTGCTTATATGGGTGGACGAGCTCACAGCCCACCTGGTGTTAAGTGGTTACTGGAGCCCATAGATATCCACAACGTAAATGCGCCACCCATCTTGAGATATAAGTTCTAAGATCTCAAGTATAGTCACAACGGCTGCCCCACCCTTCAAACCGAAACGCATTACTGCTTCACGGGCTGACAAGAGGTCTTACCACCAGTATTGAAAGTATTCAACCGTTATGATAACAAAATCACATTCATAATATCCAATAATCATAATTAAAACAATAGGTTTAGAAGCAACGAAATCTAGTCGCCTTCGTGGGTTTATTTAAACGTATTAGGATGCCATACAAATGAGAAGATGTTAGCGCGTATGATTTTCATATTAATCTGCTTTATTATGTATTGGCACGTCAAAAACAAATATTAGACGAATTATAATAAGTGGGAACAAATCACGCACGGCCGTCTGGTACCAAAAGCTGATAAACATACTTATATACGTTTAAATATATACATATATGTATAGTAGGAGTGGGTAATATCGGTTTTGCCGCGTATCGAATCGTATCTATATATCGAGGATCAATATCGGATATTGAATCTATATATTTTCTGAATCTATATATTGATGGATGCTAGTAGATTTTCTCGATTCATGATATTTGAGATTTGAAACGATACGCTGATATAATATCGTAGTAGATATAGATTTAAGTCAACGTTATACGGTTGGTTTTCTGATATCAATTTATAATATGATCTTAAAGTAATAAAAAGAACATGAAAATAAAAATATCAAAAAAACTTTCCTTCATGCTTTTACCAGGCTTAGGACTGGCTACATTATTTTCAGTTTTTAGTATTTTGTGTCTTAATTTAAAATTACAAAATATACCAAAAGAGTGTAGATTTCAAAAGTTTAATACAAACACAAGAAATAAACTCAATTATTTGGATTCAACTAAAAATAGAAAAATGTGTACTTTAAAAATCAAACACAAAAAACTTTTAAGTATTTATAAACACTTGTCCAAAAATTCTAGTTCAAGGTCAAAGCGCGTGAAATTAAATTCAACGATGCAAATAGGCTATACTGCATTCAAGTTAGGGTCGAAAGTTGAAACTTCTTTCCTAAATTGTATCCTGCTGATACGCTAAGAATAATCTACAGACATATGGACTTAAATATAAGGTTTACAATTGTATGGATAATGCCTGTTTCTGTTTCATTCATCACATGATATCCCTATCGTGCGC